CGCTTCAGGTTACAGACTCTGCTAACCCAGAAACAGTACCTCGGGTTAAGAACTTTGCTTCAGGATGAGAACAGAAATCGTGCTCCGGTGGCGCGGCAGCAGCGGGAGGCCCCATTAGCTAAAGTGGAACCTCAGGTTAAGATCAGTTTCAGGTTAAGAACAAACCTCCAGAATGAATTAAGTTCTTAACCCGAGGTACCACTGTATTTACAGTTGGTTCAAAGTTCCAGTTCTCAAGCGATGTTTGGGTTTTACTCAGCATATATTTGTGAAAATGTGCAGGAGACAGAGCACAACAGAGAGGGGAAGAGAAAGTGCTTGGAGAGTTGAATGTTTCTGGGGGTGGTCTTGATCTACAGGGTGGCAATTTCAAAAGTCTTTATAAGGCCTTGCACACCGTTTTTCAGATGAGGGGAGCACCCTGTTGCAACAGATCAATAAAGATCAAGCTTACTAGCTGCTTTGCTTCTCAATATTCTCTGGTTGGCCTCTGTTATTCTCTCCTACCAATAGGGAACCTATGTAAGGACTCTATATGGGCTCTTGGATACCCCATAAGTGAAAAGGGCAGATTTTTGTTTACAACAGTGTGAAGACCACCACTGTCTACCCTTTCTTCAAAGCAACCTTCCGTACAAACTGGGGGCCAACCCACGAGGGAGGTCTATTCATTCAATGTATTTACTTGACAGAGTTGAGCAGCTGCTGAAGGCGAGGCTTTTGGGCGCAAAAATGAGTGACAAGGAGCGTCAATCACTGCTGGAAGACCATTCAGGTGTGCTGTTATTACTAAATCAATTTTCTGTGCTTTTTCTGCTCAGGTGCTGGGGTCATGGGGCTCTGGAAGAAGTGGGCCTTTGTGGCCATTTCAGGAATAGTTCCTTTTTTAAAATAAAGGTTTTATTTATACTTTTTCATGTTTATACATTTAATTAATAATAAATTATTATTATTCAACTATCTGACTTTTGGTAGCTGTTTAGGGAAGCTTTTAATATATGATGAATTATTGTATTGTAATATTTTGCTGGAAGCTGCCCAGAGTGGCTGGGGAAACCCAGCCAGATGGGCAGGGTAGAAATACATAAATTTATTATTATTATTATTATTATTATTATTATTATTATTATTATTAGTTTTACAATCAATTGAACATTTCAAAGTTTGACTTCCTTCCCTCTCTTTCTGCGGTTCCTTCAATTTATTTTTTAATATCTTCTGCATATCCAAATTCATTCAATTTGCTCATTTAATTATCTACTTTAAATAAATACTCTTATGAAACTGCAGGTTATTACAATAATCCTGCCAATGTTTTTATCTGTTTGCAATTTATCTGTAAATATTCAATCAACCGTTTCCATTCTTTTATAAAAAGTTTGTTATTTTGATTTCTTATTCTTCCAGTAAGTTTCGCCATTGCTGCATATTCCATAATTTTTTGTATCCATTCTTCCTTTGCTGGGACTTCTGCTTCTTTCAGTAGCATTCTTGCTGCTGTAGTAGCACGCATAAATAAATTTCTATACAATTTAGGTAGTTCTGTCCCTATAATTCCCAAAAGAAAAGCTGCTGCTGCTGCTGCTTCTTCTTCTTCTTCTTCTTCTTCTTCTTCTTCTTCTTCTTCTTCTTCTTCTTCTTCTTCTTCTTTCTTCTATTTCTTTTTACAAAACTTATTTTGAACATCCTTTTCAATTCATTATATATCATTTCCCAGTAAGCTTTAATCTTACTACAACACCACCACATAGGGTAAAAAAAGAACCTTCTTTCTCTTTACATTTCCAACACTTGTTTGATTTAGATTGATACATTTTTGCCAGTTTACTCGGTGTTAGATACCAACAATATATCATTTTCATTGAATTTTCTCTTAAACCGTAACATGCTGTAAATTTCATATCCATATTCCACAATCGTTCCCATGCTTCCATGCCTATGTTATGACCAACATCTATTGCCCAGATTTCAGGAATAGTTCCTGGTGCGAGTTTACCCACAATCCACGGCATTGCATGTCTCATGGGTGCAGAGGGGGCAGAGTTGAGCGGGGGCTGTTTGAGGTTGCTAAAAGGCCAAGCCCCTGCCCCTGTCATCCAGGCATGCCTTGATGTTGGTGTTGTCAGTGTTGGCCCAGCGCCTTAATGGACAAAAAGGGAAATCCAACTTGCCCTTGCAGCTCTTCAGAGTGATTCTATTCATCTACCTGAGGTGAGGTGCCCTAGTGTTAGAGGACTATTTAGCCCACGGGTAGGCAAACTAAGGCCAATCACTTTCTAAATCTGGCCCATAGGCGGTCCAGGAATCAGTGTGTTTTTACATGAGTAGAATGTGTGCTTTTATTTAAAATGCACCTCTGGGTTATTTGTGGGGTATAGGAATTAATTCATTTCCCCCCAAAAATATAGTCCGCCCCCCCCACAAGGTCTGAGGGACAGTGGACCGGCCCCCTGAAAAAGTTTGCTGACTCCTGATTTAGCCTCTTGCCTTTGACAATGAGATGTTTTCTGAATGAAAAACATACCAAAACACTCTTATTCTTTGGCGATCACTTGTAGCTGCGTAAGAATGTCTTTCATAAACACAGTTTTAAAAGTGAGTCTGTAAATGCCTGTGGAGGCCAATTCTGGATCCACACGTCCTTCCACATAGGGTGGGGACATAGGTTAAAAATTAGTAACTTCTTTGCTTTATTTCTTCTAGGAAAAGACAATTCTACAGGTGAAATCAATGAAGACATTTACTGTAAAGCCCTGGCAAACACTTTAAAACATGTTACGGTACCAGTGACGGTGGGATTCTACGCGCCGTGGGGGCGAAGAAAAAGACAACTCTTAGATAAAATTGAAATTGAAATGAAAAGTAAGTACCACCAGTTCCCATGACAACCATCAAAGCCACATGAAAAAAGCCCAGAGAGGGAGGAGGCAGGATGTAAGGAGCGTGGAGCCATAAAATCATAGACTCATAGAACTGTAGAGTTGGAAATACCACAGGAGTCATCTAGTCCAAACCTCTGCAATACCAGACTCTTTTGACCCAATGACCCAGACATTAAGAATCTCCTGTGAATTGGCAAAACACAGGCCCTTTCCTCTTTTTGACGATTTGGCACCCAGGAAGCCAAATGTTTGGTGCCAGGTAAATGCAATATTTAGTACGCAGAAGCAAAAATAATTTCTAAAAGTGGCATAGTCACCTGTCTTCTTCTTCTTCTTCTTCTTCTTCTTCTTCTTCTTCTTCTTCTTCTTCTTCAATCCCTCGTAGCCGAGGAAGATTGACTTCCATAAACATGGTTTTAACAAGGAGTCCGTAAGTGACTGTGTAGGCCAATTCTGGATCCACACATCCTTCCACAATGGGGACATTGGTTTCCGGGCGGGAGTTGATCACGGTGTGGATTTGCCAAGCTGTTCCTTTCTCTTAGCACGTTTCTCCCTTGCGTCCTGAGTTCGAGTGTCTTCAAAGCCCATGACACCTTTGCTAAAGGCTGTTCTCCAACTGAAGCGCTCGCAGGCCGGTGTTTCCCTGTTGTCAGTGTTTATACTACATTTATACTACATTTTTGTAGATTTGCCTTGAGACAGTCTTTTGTTGACCACCAGCATTACGCTTATGGGCCACACACGTACGCAATCTAAATATAGACAAACTAAAACAGTGTAGATTAAATATAATGTGCTCCCGTCCCAAACCAGCTTGTTAGCCAGCAGAAGGAGGCAGCCACCTTGGGTGGAAGAATTCCAAGGCGTGGTGCTCCTGTCGGAGAAGCAAGAAATAGCAGTGGTCTCTGGGTTCCCGCGAGACCTCTCACAAGATCCCACTGGAACCCAGAAACTGCAATCAGGTGATCCTAGTAAGTGAGGCTTCAGCAGGGTCACCCTCCCATTTTGCTGCCCCTGACCAGCACACTACAGTGGTACCTCAGGTTAAGTACTTAATTCGTTCCGGAGGTCTGTACTTAACCTGAAACTGTTCTTAACCTGAAGCACCACTTTAGCTAATGGGGCCTCATGCTGCCACCGCGCCGCCGGAGCATGATTTCTGTTCACATCCTGAAGCAAAGTTCTTAACCTGAAGCACTATTTCTGGGTTAGCGGAGTGTGTAACCTGAAGCGTATGTAACCTGAAGCGTATGTAACCTGAGGTATCACTGTATTATTATTAAGCACATGCAAGACACTACTAAACCTTAGGTGACCTAAATACAATCCTGGTAACAACACACACAACGTAACAGGCTGTTTTTGACTATGTAACTCCTATTTCAAACACAATTCAACCTATAATATCTCACAAAGTGTAATTCCATAGACCAACACATCATGCAAACAGAACATATCAAGAGAAATTAAAGTCCAATGGATGGTCAGGAGATAAAGTCCATTCGGTTCCTAAATTTGAATATTGTCAATATTGGTTTAATCCCTGGTATCTCCAGGTAGGGCTAGGAATGTCCCCTGCCTGAAATGCTGGAGAGCTGCTGCCAGTTAGTGTAGACAATACTGAGCTACATAGGCCAATGATCTGATTCAATATAAGGCAGCTTGATATGTTCCTAAGGGATGACCACAAAAAGGCCCTCCCGGTCCTCTGACCTGCAGCAAATGTTGCGCTGGTACAAATGTTGTGCTTCTTCCTTTATGTTACAGAGGGGGAAAGTAACAGGAAGTGCAGATGGAGAAATGGAGGAATGTGTTCTCAACTTTGGCTGGCTTTGCGCATGATTTTTTGTTACCCGGTTTCCGGTTCCAAAGATATCAAAAGTCACAGCACGCAAGAAGTCGATTCTATCCGGTACATCTTCATTGATTTTGATGCCTGGGAGTTCGTAGGATGTGACCGTATCTGGGCTGGCCTTGTTACTACTCTGCTTGATGAAATTGAAGGAAAGAATAAGTTTCATTTTAGCCTTTTTAGGGCCTTTGGTTGCAAAGCTATGGAGAAAGGTGAGAAAAGGAAATGGTTTTTTAAAGGAAGGAGGGGGCTCGTCATTCCCATTGTATCAGGTTTGCTTGTTCTTTTAGCGGCATGCAACAACCTAATGAAAGATGTGTTCCAGGAGATCTTCGGATTCGTGGCTATAGCAGGGAGTCTTACGTTGATTTCTCCTATAATACTTGCTTGTAAAAACTTCTACTTCACATTGAAAAAGGAACTTCTGACAGAAATGGACAAAAAGGCTCTCAGTGCCCAGTTGGGCTTCATGCACGTTGTGAAGGAAGAGGTGAAAACAATCACAAAGTTCCTCCAGTTCCTGGGATGGATAGAGAAGCAAGAGATCCGGGTGGTCCTGAAGATCACCAATTTGGACAAGTGCACTCAGGACAAAGTGGTGGATGTTCTGGACGCCATCAACATACTTCTTTCCGACAAGGATGCCCCATTTATCTCCATCTTGGCTGCCGATACAAGCATCCTTGTGGAATGTATCCAAAAAAATAAAAACACGAATGGCTACTTGTACTTAAACCGAATTGTGTCCTTGCCCTTCTCCCTGCCGCAGATGACTCCTAAGGATGAAGAAGTCAACAATAAGGAAATTATATTTATCCGTGATCAGTTGAAGAATCACAGGTACATCCCAGGGAATTCTGCCCAACTGAAAAGGGTGCTGAGCACAGTCCTGACCATCTGTTCCATGACCAAGGTGACATCGGAGACTGAAGCCGAACATAGAGAAAAAATAAAAGAGGCGATAGATTGGGTTGTTCTTGCCAACTGTTGGCCTTGCCGCCTGAGCTGGATTTTGCAGTGTGAGGAAGATAATCGACAGCAAAGAAAACTTGAGGAAAGCCAGGCAGCAAACCCAAATGTGAGGCAGGGCAATGGCAGAAGAAACCAACAAGGGACGCAAGCCAAGAAAACGTTACTGCAAATTTTACAACGACCACGAGTCAGAATTGGCTGAGTATACTGCGAAAGATAATATACAAAGCCTCCTGGAACTTGATGGAGATCCTGATCTTTTCACGAGCTTCTTGGTCAACCAGGAGAGGAGTTTCACAGCAGAGAAGGTCAGTTTTTTTGCAAACCTCTGCTCAATTTGGATTACTCTTTGAAAAGGCCATTTGAGTTGCTCCGAGGTCGGAGGAACATACGGAAAAGTGAGGAACGACAACAAGAGCTGGCAGAAATAGTCACCAGTCTTTGAAAAAAGTACCAGTGGAGATTTGTGGAGAAATGTATGACCACCCAAAAGATTTTATTTGCATTAACCAGACCATTGATTCTTAGGGTTCATTATCAATACATTATCAATACCTTGGTTCTCAAACTTAATCCGTTCCAGAAGTCCGTTCCAAAACCAAAGCATTCCAAAACCAAGGCGCACTTTCCCATAGAAAGGAATGCAAAATGGATTAATCCGTTCCAGACTTTTAAAAACAATTCCTAAAACAGCAATTTAACATGAATGTTACTATCTGAGGAGACCACTGATCCATAAAATGAAAGCAATAAACAATGTACTGTAGTCACACAATCAATCAATCAATCAATCAATCAATCAGTAGCTGAACACAGTCACAAAAACAAAACAAAAAAGCCTCAAAACAAAAATGCAAAATAAATAGCAAAAACAGACAAACCTCAGCGTAACACTCAAAACAGAAGTGTGGCACTCAAATCGGAAGCGTAGTACTCAAAATGGAAGCATAGTCCAACCCTCTAACCACCACACCACACTGGTTGTGTTCAGAGGTTTTATCCCTTAGGTGTTTGGCCTGGGCTCCATTGAGAGGAAGGTGGGATATAAATTAAATCACCACCACCACTGTCTTCATTAAGGTGTAGTAACCATAGCTGTCAAGCGTCCCTTATTTGGCGGGACAGTCCCTTATCCCAGCGCCATGTCCCGCTGCTGTCCCTTATTGATGATGTCCCTTAAATTTCCCGGGCTTCAAAGTAAGCAGCTCCTCTCCCTCCCTCCCTGCCAGGGAGGAGGGAGGCTCCAACTGTGTTGCTTGGCTGCATTGCTCACCCAATAAGAAGTCTGAGAACGACTGGGGGTGGAGCTTGCATGCCTTGTGCTGATCAAATCAGCTGTGTTGCTTGGGGACTCGCCTTTGCTCAGCGCTTCCCAGCGGAGAGGTGAACGGTGGTTTTCCTTGCTGCATCCCCTTTGCCGGGTTGCTGCGCTGTGGGAGCCACCGCTTGAGGCTTCGTTTGGCTGCTGGCTGGGCTTTCTGCCTTTGGCTCGGAGGGGCTCAGAAGTTGAACATACCTGTGCCTGAAAAATCCCTTATTTTGGCTGCTGATCCCTTATTTTCGAGGCTGCTGGTCCCTTATTTTCAAATCTGTAAGTTGACAGCTATGGTAGTAACAGCAGTAGTTTGCATCTGGGCAAACCATAGTTTGACATGCTTTCTTTTGCTTGCCATGACTATGAAGGCTACAAACTATTGCTACTTATGGCAGGTTTTTGGCACTTGCTTAAAACATTTTTGTTGAGGTAAGCCCATCCAGGCGCATAGATTCTGATGTCTTTTCTGTTCTTTTCCTGTTAATTTAAATGGCTTTTGAACGTTGCTTATTGATCATTTTAACATTACTTATAAACAGCTTCGAGGTTTTACTACAATCAAGGGGTATCTAAATTCTGTGAAACAAATTAAACTGAGAAATTAAACAACCTACATTTAAATAGAAATGTCACATAGCGTAAGGTAAAGGATGTATGGCACTAAATGTTTGGGTTTAGTAGATATTAGCATTTATTACAGGCTTCCTCACCCTTGGCCCTCCCAATGTTTTTGGCCTACAACTCCCATGATCCCTAGCTAGCAGGACCAGTGGTCAGGGATGATGGGAATTGTAGTCCCAAAACATCTGGAGGCCGAGGTTGAGGAAGCCTGATTTATTATAACTTGTATGCTATAACTGGGATGTGTTCTGAGACAGTCTCAGTATGTATTAGAAGGGGGTACTGTAATGGGTTTGAGGTGTTTAATTAATACTGATGTGTAAAGACTGTGTATCAGACCCTGAGAATGGAATCAAGACCAATGGACCGCCTCTCCTGGTATGCCCCGCAGAGGACCTTAAGGTCCATGAATAATCATAGTTTAGAGGTCTTGGGCCCTAAGGAAGTCAGATTATCCTCCACCAGGGCCAGGGCCTTCTCAGTGATGGCTTCGACCTGGTGGAATGCTCTGTCCCATGAGACCAGGGCCCTGCAGGATTTAACCTTCTTCCGCAGGGCCTGTAAGACAAAGCTATTCCGCCTGGCCTTTAATTTGAATTCAGCCTGATCTTTTATTTCCCTTCCTTCTCTCCCCCTCCCCTTTTTATGAAGATTACCCGCTCTGGGATCCCACAGCTAATTCTCCCCTGGTCTCCTCGCTGGCCCAAATAGGACAAATTTAGCCAGCTAGACCTGGTGGCCATCTAATGTTTATTGGATGGATTTCCCCCCTAAATTGATTTTTGAATTCTGAATCTTTTGTTATTCACGTTTTATACTGTATTTTATGCTTTTTGTTTGTTTGTTTTTGCATCAATTGTTTTAAATTTGTTGTTAGCCGCCCTGAGCCCGGTTTTCTGAAACAGGAAGGGTGGGGTATAAATAAAAATTTATGTGTATTGGAATAGGTCTGTGGATGCTATTCTGAGCATCAACGGGCTCTGACATGCTCCGTTGCAGGGCTGCCTCCACCTTTGCCTTCACACACGTGGGTCACATATTTCTCCCAGGAGGAAGAGGCAGCCCACCACCCGTGTGATGGAGGTGGAAGCCCTGTGAATGGAGCCTGACAGAGGCTGACTCTGGCTCGCGAGGAGACCCCCTCCCTCAAAAAAGCCAAAAGATAGCCTCTTGGGGCTCTGAGGTGGGTCTTCTGAGGCAGGTGCATCCCAGCAAATTTTGACGTAGAAAAACTCACTGCCACTAACTCTCACTTCATCTGAGAGCAGCAGGCTGGCTTGGAGAGCGCAGGCCAGGCCAGAGCTTTCCTCCCAGGAGAGGGAGGGCGGGTCCTAAAATTAAAACTGGAATTTTGGTGATGTTTTCTATCACTCAACCGAAATATCTCAAGGACCACCTGCAATCATCTGAAGCCCTTCTTCCTCTGCAAGGCCTCCAGAGGGCAGCAACGCCAGAACAGGGTCTTTACTGCGGTGGCTCCCCATTTGTACAATGCTCTCCTCAGGGAGGCTTGCTTGGCGCCTTCCTTACTTATCTTTAAGCGCCAGTAAAAATATTTCTCTATTACCAGGTCTTTGGCTGAGTAACGTGTTTGTTTGTGGGTGTGGGTGTTATTGGTTTGCTTTTGTATGGTTATATACGGTATTTTGTGTTTCATTTTGTATTTTTATGTTGTGTACTGCCCTGTGATCTTGATATATACAACGGTATACACATTTAATAAATAATAGTAATAATAATAATAGTAATAATAATAATAATAATAATAATAATAATGGTGTACTTCTCCTCCATGTTTCTTCCACTTTAAGCCACACGGGAAATCCATACATTGAGGGGAGGGATATAAAATATAGGAAATTTGTTAAAAAGGGGAAAGAATTACTGGTACATAGCCAACTCACTGCAACATTCCACCTTTACAACATCTGTACTACTAACTCTCAAACTTTGGGATTTTTGAAATATATACAACAAAAAATTAATCAATTTGAGTCATACTAGACCCCAACGTTTTAACTAATGTGGACTAAATTTGCTACTGGGGCCGCTCCAGGACTGAAGGCCCTGAAGCTTCATTAGTTTTACAGTAGATCCCTCTGCGTGTGGTTTCAAGAGTTTGAGAGTGCGCCTTTTTGTGTCTATACAGAGCCCTTGTAACTGAACTCCTGCCTGAGAGGTGATCTTGCTGCATATCATATTGAAATCTTTTTCTTTTTTTAAAATTTTTTTTATTCAAAATTAAAACAAGACATATTATCCAAAAACATATCAACCTTGTTTAACCCCCCATCCCCCCCCCCACAACCCCCCCACAACTTCCCTCCGTTCCAGTCTTTGGTTTCTCTAAGAATGCTGTTTTCTGCATGTTACAAAGTTGTACAGATCCTCAAACTATTTAGCTGATTATTATCAATAAAAAGTTTGTGAATGTTTATTCAAACCCAGCCAAGGAGTCCAGTTCGCTTTGTTGCGTCTTCAGATACTTTGTAAAGGGTTCCCATTCATCCTTAAAGTCACAGTTATCCTTGTCCCGTAGCTTATATGTCAGTTTTACCAGTTCTGCATAGTCCGTCAATTTTTCTTGCCATGATTCTTTAGTTGGGATTTCTTCCGTCTTCCATCCTAGTGCTACCAGAACTCTCGCGGCCGTTGTCGCATACATGAAGATGTTTTTCAGCTTTTTTGGCAGGTCTTTCCCTACAATCCCCAACAAAAATGCCTCGGGTTTTTTAACAAATGTTAAATGGAACATTTTCTTCAATTCGTTGTATATCATTTCCCAAATTTTTTTAATAACATTACAATCCCACCACATACGATAAAATGTCCCTTCCTTTTCCTTACGCTTCCAGCATATATTTGAACTAGTTTTGTACATTTTCCCTAACTGCACTGGTATTGTGTACCATCTGTACATCATCTTCATATAATTCTCCTTCAATAGGGAACAATCTGTAAATTTTAAATGAGTTTTTCATAATTTTTCCCAATCTTCCATCATAATGTTGTGACCTACATCTTGTGATCTTATTGAAATCTTTCTGTACATAACGTCGATCCCAGCTTCAGTGTGTTCCCAGGCTGAAGAAGAGGATGGCACCTGAAGGAGGACGTGGGTGAAACTGAAAGTGAACACAGCACATGAGAATGCAGAATGTGTTGTTTACTGTTTACGTGGTGCAGAGAGGTTAAGACTGGTGTCTTTGTTAGGAATATTAGGCTCACTGACAGCATGTATGTGTTGCCACCCAAAATAATGTCCT